TATAAATTAATTGGTCACAAATTACTTATCGGTCACAATAAAAAAATTTATAGGTCACAAATTATTTCATAATAACAAATCGATAATTTTATCGGTCACAATTTTTTCATCGGTCACAAATTTATAAAATTAGTAAGTCACATATTATTTATTGGTCACAAATCACAAATTTTATATATCACAAATTATTTTAATATCATAAGTCAAAAATTTTATAAGTCACAATTTGTTTATCGATCACAAATCAAATTTTGAAATGTCACAATTATTTATAGGTCATAAGTCACAAATTATCAAATTATGGGTCATAAATTAATAATTTTTAGGCCACACGTTATTTTTTGGTCACAATTTATCTTTTTTATTGGTCACAAATTGTTTATCGGTCACATTACTTAATTTAATGATCACAAACAACCAAAATAATCTGTGACAACCACCAACACTTGTGACTACCACCTCACCACTGCCACCAACAGCATGGCAACCGAAACCTGTCGTCGGAACCACCACCACCCCATCCTACAACCCAAAAAAATCCTCAACCCTACTATCATCGCCGCCAACCACCTCCAACAAATTTTCAACTTCAAATCCACCAACACCCCCACCTCGTCACCACAACCACCAACAAAACCACAGTCACCACTGCATCAACAAGATCCAACATCGTCGCCCAAACACCAGATCACCTCCCAAAAATCAACAAAATCGCCGCCCAAACAACACTAAAATCGCCATCACCACCACAACCACCAACAAATCACCGCCACCACAGCCACCAAGAAGATCCAAGAAAATCACCGCCACAATCGCCCAAAAAAACCAACAAATCGGATCCACAACGCCATCACCACAACGCCACTGGTATAGGCCACATCGCGTTAGTGGTGTGAGGTTGCGCCGTCGACGAAGAGGAAGGAGAGGAGTTGTCACATATCGAACGATTCCGCGACAGATACAAAATATGATAAATCCATGAGAAGACATGGAGAGTGGATTTATCGGACGACGACGGTGGTGGTTTGGTAGAGAGTGTGAGAAGAGAAAAGATGGAGATAGGGAGAATAGAGTTGAAATTGGTTTTAGGGTTTGGGGGTGGATTAGTTTAAATTTTAGATATTAATAATAATAATAATATTTAAAACTCTTATTTTTGAAATAAAAACTTGTAAATCTAAAATTTGAAATTGAAAGTTGAAAATTCTGATATGGTGTAATTTCCACTTTCTGAGGCTAATACATGTTATTCTTTGCAATTTGAACTTTTTTGAATTAAAAAGACCAGTCTAGGATGTAGTGTCAATTGATGAATCAAAGTGTTCATTCTTTGCAATTCAAATTTTTTACTTTCTTACATTGTTTACAAACTTAATTGATTTTTAAATTTTTTTCATAATGCATGACAATTGAACTTGATATATTCATAATTTGGACTGTGGTTTACCTTTTTAGCCCCTATTTGGACTTCATTTATTTCCAAAAAAATAAAATTTTGGAATAGGAGAAAAGTTGCAGAATGTGTAGTTAAAAAAAATGAAAAATTTTGAATTTACGTGTAAAATTGTTTTATAAGAAAATGTGTGATTAAAAATAAGTGGAAAAACGAGTTTAAAAAAAAAAAACTGAGCTCAAACATGTTATTGGTTATCATGAGTTCTTGGTTCTCTTTTAAAATATATACTTTTTTCTTTTTTATTCAAACAGAGCGAATTCAATATGTGCGCTGTAAATTATTATTACTATATAATTATGTATCTAATTAGTATTTTTATATTAAGCCATTTTAAGAGTAGAAGAATTTAAGCATTGTTCATAATTGAATTATAGGTTCTAGCATGCCTCACTTATGAAACGAATAAGATTTATTAAGAAAAAATAACTTATTCTCAAATTGTCAATTAATTTTTGATGTTTTAATTTTCTTATCTTTTCTTAATTTAAGCATTGTTCGTGATTTTTATGCTTCACTATTAGCTTCTTGAAGATTTCTTAGCAGAATTTTCTCCATTACACAAAAATTGTCGAGTAGTAGCGTGTTAGATATATGTATTGAAACGACCTATATGAAAAAGTTTATTAAATGTAAACAAAAAAATGTGTAGAATCGAACCGAAACCAACCATTCGGGTTTAAGTTTGGTTCCAATAATTACAAGGACTCAAATAGTTTCATTTATAATATATTCGAAATAATGGTTTCTAATATTGAAATACCCGGACCAACCCACCATGACGCCCAAACCTAGCAAGGTGGCCAGGGTCAAGGTGGGGTGAGAAGGAGTAAGAATCTTCATTTTCTTTTTCTTTTTTAAATATAGTAGGATCATGTTCCTCGTCTCCTCCATGAATTTCATGAGGCAGGATGATGATCTTGCGTGTCAACAAAATTAATTTTTAAAAAGTAAATTTTCATCTACTTTCCTGAACAAAAAACCTGTCAACGTTACATGCTAATTGCCATACCTGAACTTCAACGCTTTCTACAAGGCTAGCCTTGATTTCGATTTAGAGTGTGTTTGGTAGGAATTTTTGGAGGAATAATTGATTTTTAAATAGTGATATGATGGGAAATGTGTGGTTGAAAAAGAAGAAAAAGGTATTGATATGATGAAAAATATTATTTTATTGAAAAATGTGTGGTTGAAAATGAAAATTGATTTACTGTAGAAAATGAGAATCTGTACCAAACAGACCCTTAATATCAAGTACTGGGCTATTGATTGAGTACATTGCATTTATGTTTCGGCAAAAATTGAAGTACCGGAACAAATTATCAGCGTTCATTTTACCCTCTCAAGTTTAAAAAAATAACTATATGACTTTCATTTTTACCTTTTGTTTCTAGCATACCACTTAAAAATTACGTAGCATACGATATGACTGTGAACTAAACAAATCCATCAATCTAAACTACCGAACGATAGACAAAACTAAGTTTAGGTTCAGTTACCTGATAGAGATTTCATTGAAAGTTCAAAGACCACTAAATCTCCTATGCCATATTTATAGCATGAAATACCCAACACAAGACAATCTAGAAAATAAAAGACAACTAGCAGGTAACCTACAAATTTCATAAAACTAACGAAAATATTTCAAAAACAGCCCCAAAGACCATAATTAAGCAGTTCGTCTTAAGTACTCATATTAAGGATTTCCAAGAAAAATCAAAACGATACTGGGCCATGATAATACATCAAGGAAGAGGACATTGCCCCAGAGTCCCATCCTATCCTCGTCCAGTAGATCTAGCGATGGATTAACAAAATAGACGACACTAATTGACCCCATGCAACATGGGTTGACCCATTAATCTACCGCTTGGATGGTCTCTCATCGTCCTCTCCACCATCACTATCATCAGAGTCATCTTTGCCTGCTCGTTTTCTCTTTGGTGGTGCCTCAACTTTTCCATCATCGTCCTCTTCATCATCCTCAAAATCTTCTTCACCATTCTCTTGGGGTTCGAAATCACTAGCATCTTCCTCATCCTCAGCACGACCAACTGGTCTGACTAGGTATTCCGTGCCCAGATCCTCCTGCATTATTACTCATAAATCTCAGTATACAACGACCATATGTCATGGTATGTCCTGAAGGAAAAAGAACGATTTCCCCCTTTTAGTGCACAAGATTTTCATGTAGAAGTGAAGCATGCAAACATATTAACAACTCTGAAACAAAAAAGCATGCACTTCATCTTGTTCAAGTAAATGTTGTATTCTTGTTAACCTCACCAAAACAAACATGGGAACAATAAAATGAGAACAACGAAACTAGTCCTCATAATGTTGGGACTAAGGAAACCGGATTGGATCGAGCCAACAGGTTCACGGAAGATCAAACGGATTCGAACTTTTTCCTAAAGCTTCATAGAATGCAAGTGTACATGAGAGTATGCAGGTCGATAAAATATACAAATGTTGTAGAATGAGAAGAACTAGTCCTGAAGCACAGATCTAGAACCAAACAGGTCAGTTTTGTACTAGAAAATTCCAAAATTTCACAAGACGGGGCAGATCTAGAAGGAAAAACAGAACAAAAATAAGTTCCATTCTATTACCAGGCATGCCATCAACTGGCCCTGCCATAAAGCAAAAATAAAAGAATAATTAGTGTGTCCCCAGTTTATGTAATAGTGGTCACTGCTACCACCAGAGACGAACAGATAAATAGCATTAATCAAGCTAATAGCAATAATTCACAATAACAACCAAATATTATAGTACATAAACACAGGAAAAAATTATAAATAAATTTTGATCAAATAAATCAATAAAGCTAAAAGCAATAATGACAATTTCTACCCCCCACAAAAAAAAGCTCAAAAAATTCTGCAAAAACTACAGATCTACTAGTTTCAATGAAAGTTATGCCAAAATAAACCAACATACGAAAAAAAATGAACAAAAACGGTGAAAACTTCAAAAGAAAATGAAAAAAATGAACATATACATAATTGGTGTACACAAGAAAAGGTTCAGCAGAAACTCAAGATCTACTATTTTTCAAATTAAAAAAATGCGAAAAATAAATTAAAAACACCAAAAATGTCAAACAAATACGTAGTCAAAACGCAGAGAAGTTCATAATAAAGTACATATACATGTAGAAATACTGAGTATTATTACCTCTTCGTCTTCTTCTCCATCCTCGTCATCATCGTCGTCATCGTCGTCGTCATCATCATCATCATCGTTGTCATCTTCTTCGTTTTCTCCAGCCTCATCGTCGTCGTCCTCACCGTAAACCGGCTGAGCCGGTCCCCGACCACCACTTTCCGGTTCTACGTCCTTCTCTTCGTCCTCATCACTGCCGTCCTCGTCCTCGTCCTCGTCCTCGTCGTCATCTTCACCGTCCACTTCCGCCTCAATTTCCTCCTCAATTTTTTCCTCAATTTTTTCCTCGTCTTCAAACACCGCCATATTTCCTCGAGCTAAAATCAGAAAATCTATTACAGATATTTTTAATTTATTTTGAAAATTAAGAATTTTTTTGTGAGGGGAATAAAGGGAGAAAGGAAGGGGTGGAACAGGGGAGGTGTATTTTCTGAGAGGGGAGAATATAAGTTGATCTGGACCGTTGAACTGAGAATCGACGCGGATAGCTGACGTGGAGATTGATCTGACGGTAAAGAACGAGGGTAGATGGGGAGCGAGGGTATTTCTCGTGGGTTCGCGATTGCGGCGCGCTATAAGTATCTTTTGGATATTTGGTATTGTCACATGATTTGCACGTGGGTTATCTAGGGTTTATTCTCTCTCTCTGTTTTTTTTGCTTTGGAAAATTTAACAATTAGTCCATAACTTTTACTATCGAATTTCATGTAAGCCCACAACGCTCAAATAGGTAATGATTTTGACAAACCATTTTTCGTGAAGGAACAAATTATTAGGACAAACTCGTCAAGATAAAAATCTAACAATTTTATCAAGGGTTTATTCACACTCAGTGGCGAATTTAGTACCCGATGAGTACCAACGGCCGCCTGTGTTGGATCCGTCCACATTCATATTTTTTTTTAGTGTCAATGTATAATATTTTGTATATATATCTGTAATTTCCCTTTCTACGAAAGAAGTTCTTCTAGTTCTCTTGATAAGAGTATTTATTAATGAATGTGAGATCATGAGTTCAACTCTCTTTGATTGCAATTCTTTATGCAAATGATTTTAATTTATATTTTTAACCAATTTGGAGCATAGGCATTAAAACCAGTGCAAATTCATTTGAGAATATAAAAGGTTTGAATGCTATGACATTTGGTGATTATTAAAATTATGTGCAATAAAAATATATGTGTTCAGTTTTTCTCAAGTAATAGATATATTCCCCTTTTCTTTAATTTGTTTTTTTAACTAAATTTTGATATTACATTGATCCAGCAATTACACTACTGATTCACAGTTTGAACCACTAATTCAATGATCCGATAATTTGTTCTAGTCAACTATCAGATTGAACATGATACGTATGTTTGAAGAGTGAAAAAAAATAACAAATAAGAAAATTAAATTGGTAGTTGATATTTACTAAAACCCAAAAATGTATTTGTCTTAATTTTGTCATTAGAGACTGTTTAATCGACAAAAAAAATTGACAGAAGGGATAAGCATTGACACAAATGTTTTTCAGATACAATTAAAATATAGTGTAAAAAATAAAATTTGTGGTGTGAACAGTGACAGATTAAGGATCTTGAATGAGAAAGGTCGATCGTTGACCATACCGCAATAATAGCCAATACCGGGAATTCAAATTTATTACATCGTAGTTCGAATTGTAAATGTGAAAGGACATTATTAGTCCATTTAATAATATTCATCGTGTAAAAATTTCAAGTTTCAAAAATGGGTCCAAGCACTTACTTTCAAGGTTCGAGTTGCTAATAATATCATTCTAATAAGGAAAAAAACTATTTAATAGTTTTAAATATGACTTTGCTCATTATAGTAATTATATCTTTAACGGTTTTTCATGTTATTCTTATCTTCAAACTTTTCATTAATTAACACATTTTGTATTTGATAATAGTTATGTGTTCAAAAGTCCATTGAAATAACAGAAAACAACTTATTTTTCCATCATATTTTAAAAATTAAATAAAAAGTCCGAAAAAATATTTTCCCTCATTTCAAAGTATGAAAACAAAATATTGTGATATAAATCATTATTAAGGACAATGCATATTAATTGATGAAAGGATAAAAATAAGAATTCGACGAAAAAAAGTTAACGAAATAATTGCTACAATGAACAAAGATTGAGGAGTTTAACTGCAATTAAAATATGGTGTAATAAATAAAAATTGTAGTGTCAATATAACCATATTTTTTATAAAGTTGATCATGCGAACGTCACTTGATGGTCTGGGATGAATTTGTATAAATATTGCTATTTATTGATTATGACTAACTGGAAATTTGAATAATCAATTAGAAATTATTGATGGAATTTCCCTTTTTTCGAATTTTAATATTATTTGACGTTTTTTCTTTATGTAGGAGAAGATTTTGATTTTGGACATCGAATAAAAAATGTATATACAATTCAAGAAGTATTGAATCAAGATGGGAAGAAAACGAGAGAAATGAATTAAGAAAACTCTGGCAAGTTTGCATAGCAAACTAAAACAAGTGTGCCAACAAACTAGCACACCTGTTCTAGAATAGGACTGAACAAAACTCTCGAATCAAACTTGAATCGAGCATTTTTTTTAAATTAAATACCCGAATGGGTATCTAAACCAAGAACCGACTGGTTCAGTTCGATTCGATTCTCGGTTCTAGATAAAAAACCGAATAACCGAATAACAAATGAATATTCTTAAATTTTTATCTTAAATAAGTCAAATTATTTTATTTTTTTTAAATAAATTCGCTAACCAATTAATTTAGCTCAAACCTAAAA